ATTTCTCAGGACAAAAACCAGGGCAAGATAGTTGTACTTAATACTTGTACAGAGTTGTTCAATTCTCCCTGGCTTGCAGAAAATTTGAGTAACAGAATTTAAAACAGGCCCTTTTTTTTTTTTTTTTCTCCATACATTGATTAGTATCTTCCTACTTGTGTTGCACCTTTGAACCCAAAGGTGCAGTTGACAGAGAAGGGCTCTAATCAGTGTGATAAAAGGTTGCAGAATCCCTGTTTCCACACAGAAAACCAACAATATGTTCCACTCCAGCATTTGGCCTGACAGGGTAGGAAAGTTAGTAGTGTAGCTATGGTTTGAGTCAGTGATTTACAGAAGTGGGGCATTTAGGTATTTTCCAGATGTATTAAAGACTAAAGGCAGAATTGACTTTGGCGGTAACATCCATTTTGAAGGCAATTTATGAAATCTGTTCTATTTTTCAAGAAAGTAAATTTTTCCATCTGTGATTAATGTACGTTTCAGGTGAAAAAGCAAATAACCTCTACAGCTATTTTATCTCAGTACAAATTCAATAAAAATGACCTTAGCTTGGGACTTTGTAAGGTAAAGGTTAACATATACCACTGAGAAGTGTAACAAATAGAACAAAGTATCTTTTTCTTGTCCCTCTGAGACAAAACCAAAAAGAGGTGTACAGGAAATTTCTCTATGGAGTTTACCAGGAACATACGCACTCTGGTATCCATCATCACTTCCTAACATTCAAAAGAATTCTTCATCACATACAGCGGATATTGATTTTTACATACGAATACCAATCCACAATCATGCTTCTGCAAACACAGATATAACCTAGGCTTAAGAAATCAACTTCTTATTAATTTTGAAAATTCCAATTTCTTCCTTTGCAACATTTCAATTTCACCAGTAACCTAAGACCCATCTGCAATCTCAGCCAACAGTAGCCTGGGCCCTTCAAAGTGCATTTCCAGGTGCTTGGCATGTATAACAAATCTCTTCAAGAAAGCATGCACAGAGGAGTCATAACAGCTGTCGGTGCACACAGGTGCCAGCATCGCAGGACAAAGGAGAACCACGACGGAGAACCACCATGGAAAATTCTGCCTTCGCAAAGGCAATAAATTTTTTGAGTGATACTACAACTCCCTGCAGCATCACCACTGAGAAATGTCCTGTGCTGCCAAATCACCACTATGTTACTTTACTCATCAGAAATCACTGTGAAGAGTGATACTCTACATCAACAGGAGTCACCTATCTTTACCTGAATTCATAAAAGAAGTTTCTGATGTAGATGATGCTATCTAATGTAAAAACCTAAAGAAAAAGTGTCAACTTCATTAAACTTTTCCCTGTCCTTGAGTAATTCCTCTGAAGTATAACACAGTTTTACAGAAGGCAGCCGAAGGTGTTAGTGAGTTGAACGGGGTTAGGAAAGCCAATGCCAGGGCCCCAAGTGCCTTCATAGTCCTGGCCAGCCTTACTGGGGACTCCCACCCATACCTTCTTCCCTCGGGTCCATGAGTCCCACTTAAGCACAGACCTGGAGCTCCAGACTCCTGTCTGCCTTTGGCCTTGTCTCTTGGACGGATGCTGACCCTGTGCTGTAGCCTCATCTTCATTCAGTCAACTCTCTCATCTCCCTTTACACAACAGACTTCTTGGGCTGGACCTTAGGCCTTGGTCCACCCCCTTGCTGTGCCTGGGGCTGACAACGGACCCTGCTACCAGCGACTGATGCTGCCTGCTGTGTGCAGACCTGTGGAGCTGTGCCCCACTGGTGAGGACACTGACTGCACTGGAACCACCCTTGGCTCCCTATTTTGTAACAAGAAAGGCCTATAGAGCCCATAGACACACCAGCTGCAAAAGTAAATCTAAAGAAATTTTCCATCACAAGGTAACAGTCTCAATACACAGTAAATATTTTGGAAGTCTGTTAGTTTTATCTGCTTTTGCCTTGAACCTTCAGCTCCTAGGACGTGTCTCAAAAGAATCAATACATGAAAATGGATACAACTGCATTTATCCTAAGAGCTTTTAGCAAAGAAAGACTACATATTTTAGCTGGCAATTCCAGCTATCCACGCTGGGATTTTGAATGTGGAGAAATTCACAGTACCAATGTTAAGTGGAAAACTTGCTCCCAGGTATCTTGAAGGTGCATTCATCCCATGTGACCTGCTATGACACCACTACATCCAAAGTCCCTCTGAGCCCTCAGATGCAAGATCTGAATCAAGCAGTCATTTTCCATGTAGACTTTCAGCCCTCTGAAACATAAGGTTAACTTTTACTGTCATCTAGGATAGCCTCAGGCTGAATCAGTGAGGCAAAATATGTTATACAGGAGTTGCTAAGTCGACAAGAAATGTGTTATAATGTAATCCAGCTGTCCAGTTTACTATGCGAGACAAAAAAAGACAGCTTGAACTAAAATGGAAAGTCTTGCAAACAGTGTGAAACACTTAAGAAGTCCTGTGTTTCATATTAATGAGAATATATTGTTTCTACACCACTACAGCTGTAGCTGGTTCACTTCATTATCTGATAGGAAAAAAAAAATCCTAACATCTGCTTGGAATGCTCAGCTGAAACTTTCAGCTCCAAGTAACACTTTTAGAGTAACACAGGCCTGTTTGGCAACAGAGGTTTTGAATACTATTTCCCTTCTCACTTCTGCAAAGAAAGGAAGAAACATAAAGCATGTTTGAGGAAATAAATAATCCATTTTTAAACACTAATAGCATTTTATATGACAAGCAAAGACATATGAATGGTTTAGAGACAGTATTTTTCAGTACTCTGCTCAAGAATAGGAAAGAAAGAACAGGAGGCGAAAAAAAAAAAAAACCAAAACAAACAAACAAAAAAAAATACCAAAAAAAAACAAAGGGAAGCTGGGAGAATGTAAGTTCATCACATTCATGAAAGCATTAAAACAGCTGTGCAGTGCTGTCTCATTCTGTGGAAAAGCTTTTGTATGTGGAAGACAGTTCCTTCAGTCTAGTCTAAAATCTCTGAAAGCTAATGGAAACCCTTTTAAAGACCAGAGCATACACTACCACTTCAGCAACACCTAAAGATGGCTGTACTTTATTTGTGAACTCCCTTCACCAAGCACCTTCTTGGTGTCTTCAATACATACTGCTACATAAGGTTTCTGATAACTAATGTTAGGTGGTCAAAATTATTTCCCCCAGTTTGTGTTTTTTTGAGTGTGTACTACAGGAAGAGCTGGTAGCACAGCTATGAAGACTGTCTGACTTGAGGTGGCTTCTAAGCTTGCCAAATATTTATTAGGGAACACTGAAAGCTTTTATGTCAGCTACACATTTCAGGGCAGATGGTGAAAGGAAGGATGAGAAATTACAGGTGGAACAGTCTTCTCTCTTTGAGAAGGAGAACCTTGAGATGAGAACTACTTTCCTCAGTTGCAGGACTGCATTGTGGAAGAACTCTGCCACCAACAAACTTTGGAAAAGGAAGTGAAAAGTTTGGCATAAGGTAATCTGTACATGCGCCTTTGCTGATTCAGTGAAAACTCCTGAGCTTGGAATCCACCCACATGTAGCTGAATTAAAGGCTTTGGGGTAGAGGGTGCAAATTACAACGGTTGCATAGGGAGTTCTGTACTTAAAAGCTTTCATGCCATGTTTATCGCAAACAGTGCAGTCCACTGGGTCTACAGAGCAAAACAGTTAGTGCCCAAAGCTTGGCATATTTTTCCTCTGAATGTCTCTGGGCCTGTCTCATAGACTAAACACCCACTAGAGATCAAAGTACTTCTTCCAGTTTAGTCTCTTCTGAAAATAACCCAGTCCATGTGCTCTACAGTTTTCCCATGATGAGAATGAAAACATGGTAAAAGGACAATTCACTTTGAAGGCACAATCCTTATCCTAACTAAAACACTAATGGAGAAGCACTCCAAGCATGCTTTAATCAAGAGCCAGAAGGAGTGGAGGAGGTTAATTATCTGTGTTGTTCCTCCTACTTATCCGTAGTGGTCTGTCGCCAGGCATTGTTAAAAAAAGCAAGGAGAATATCTTTCTGGTACTTTTCATGGTCCTTCACGTCATGCAAAAGACTGTCAAGGGGATTCAGTGATTTAAGCCACCTTACAGAACTGATAGGACTCTTTTGTTTTACAGAAAATAAAAATTATAGACTGCTGAATTATCAAAACTTACATCTATTGAAATTACAGCAATATTACCTTCAGAATTTACAACAGAATTTGTGCGAAACTATGGTTTCCAAATGCAGACTTTGCTTTCCATTCAAACAGAAGAGGACAGTGCTACAATACAATGTGTATTATCTCACACACCAGGGTTTTTAGTGGCAGCAATGGGTGAAGAGGAGCATACCAGACAAACAATAAGGGGAACAGCAGATAAATGGTTCTAATCCTAAGAAAATACATGGTAGACAACTGAACCAAATGCAAAGGCAATGGAATGACGACCATGCACAAGAATGAGGAAGTAATGGGAATGCCAGACATACTTGGTAGAAATACTGAGCTCTAGTCCTTGTTCCACACCAAGAGGCAGTAAAAAAGCATACTTAGAACAATTACACAAACTGGACCATTAAGTATACAAAGCCAATGGTTTGGATTCACAGCGTAACAGCTGACCTCCATGTCCTCCATTACCACTTTTGGAAGATGACTCTTCTCTCTCACATCTTCTCCATCACTCCAGAGACATCCTCAAGCAACCAAGCAGAAGGGAAATAAGAGGAAGGTAAAATAATATAAGAAAAAATTAGTTTGAAACACAGGTTAAAGTTGATGGCCTTTTACAGTTTTTGAAATCAGCCATGTTTGTGCAAAGTCTACACTGCTGGAAGTGATAATTTAACATAATGGAAATGGTAGGAGTTTCCCCCTACCCCCCCAGGTTCATAGTTTGACAAATGAACTTTCCCAACTCCAATAATGGAATACATTTCTTAAAGACAGTGAGGCACCACTGCTCACAACAAATGACAAGAAACTCTGGAAGTTACTTCTTGATGCATTTAATTTCTTTTGCAATGTTCTAAGAACTAGGGTATTACAAAGTGTCAGGTACACATAATAACAGGACTAACAGGACTCCAGTTGGATCAGGTAAAAATGGGTTACAAAATATTAGGAAAAGCAATAACGAAAAATACAAACAACCTTATTCAGTCACATAATCAGCTGCAAATCCAAATTCTGAAACCCTTGAAAATCAGTCCCAGGAAAAGTTCATGGCTGCTCTTTCAAAAGGAGGACATTCCAGTTTTAGGAGACTAAAAGTGGAGGAACCTCCCATGCCAACCCTCTACTTGATCTTTGTTGCCTGAAAAGTAAATTGCATCCTTGATGCACACACAGTGGTGACCTGGGTAACACTGCCCTCTTAGGACTTGTCGCTGGGAGGTTTCTTCTTTGCTTCCACATCCTTCTTAAATTCTTCAAGCTTCTTTGCAATGTTAGGAATCTTTAAGGATAAAACAAAAAAAAAAAAAACACATAAATTAACAAAAAATCCTGAACTAGATGAGCCACAGCAGGAAAGACAGTATTGTAATCACAGCAAGAAATTCTATGAAGTTTAAACTGGTTTCTAAAAGACACTTGCTTCCAGGATCTGTTACTTGCTTCCAGGATCTGTTACCTTGCACAGAGGTTAAAAACAAAGCAACACCAAGCAAACAGCAGGTGAAAGCACCTCACATGAGACTTCAGGAAATATTTTAGACTGTTAAGACTAAAAGTCAGACAGTGGTGCTGGGAACACAAGGGAGGAAAAAAAGATCACTGCACAGGAAATCTAGTAAGACCAGTCTGGCTTCCTCACTGAAAGAAGAGAAACTGACAAGAATAAACCAATTTAAGCACTAATGCACAGACTTTATGAACGACTTTTGGAGGGGGAAATTAGATTGCACTATACTGGTCACAAACCAAGAGAAAAGAGATTTTTCAAGAGCAGCAAATATGTTCTTAAGAAATTTCTGAAGAAATACTTCTCCTGGTTCATTTTGCAGGAACCAAAATTCCCCACTGGGGAATTCTACTGCATTGCGAATTGGCAACCTTTTGCAGTTTCACACTTGAATGAAAATTCAATTTATTGCTTGTGAACTTCAGAACTTCATCTCTCTCTTGCAAATAAAAGCATTTTGATAAAGCAATCCTACAGTAAATTTTGACAAGTTTAAAGAAAAAAAAAGAAGAAGCAACTTCTAAGGACAGAGAATAGATTATTTCACAACTCTAGCTAAAACTGGGAATTGACAATGTAAGATTTTACATGCTAACTGTCTAAAGCAAACTCCCCACTGGTAGTTTTGAGAAAAATAACGGGCTTTTACTTCATATGTAACATGACCACAGAGCAGAAGGAAAGTTAATACACACAGACTGCAGTTCTCCCATTGGATGGTTTGAGGCTGATGGTACAGGTAATATCATAAGTTTCTCTCTTACCTCCCTTTCAAAGTTAATTTATTTTCCTCAAACAGAGCTTAAGAGCCTAGCCTGACATTTAAGCTAAACCAAGAGAACTCCACTGCTGTCAGCAGAACCCTCCATGTGCTTTTAACTAAGCCCACATGCATACAGCTGCAGAATTAGGGACCTCGTTATGACAAGTTTATCTTAGATGTCATCTAAAACAAATCATCTTCGATACCAGCAATAAAATTACCATGTTCATCCTGCAAGTTAGTGTTACATTCCTAGGGAACCATTTCCTGCAAATCAAAAGCATAAGTCCCCCTCTTGTGGCAATACTTTATTAGTGCTACCAGAAAAGCACTATACCACCCTTATGATAGATATTGATACACCCAAATATGTTCTTATGACTACATTTTCATGCCACTGTAAAACATATTAGAAAGAAAAAACAGCCTTTTATTAGTACTCTTACAGGAGTGACTGGACAGGAAGCATCACAAAAGTTTGTACATGAGCAAAGAGAAAAAAAAAAGAATTCAGCAAGTAATATGACTTCAATACTGAAGACAAGAGGAAGGCAAAACATAAATGTCAACAGAGATTTAAGTCTCAAGAGTTTTTTGGGTTTTTTTTAACTAGGCTAACATAGATTGCATAAGAAAGAAAAATAAAATTATGTTAAATTTCATTAACTCCTCTAGCCTGTAAACAGCTAAGTGACACTGCTCTTACAAGGGGTCCTGCTGACTCTGCAGAAATTAAAAGCTTGTACTGAAGACTAAGCTTTCAATCTTTTTCTTCTACTCTAACTCTCACAGTGAAAAATCTTGGATCATTCTGAGAACTGAGGAAAGAAAGTTTGCTTTCTTTCTTTTCTCCCTGTGAGAAAATAAGGAAAGAAAGACTGCAGATCTATACATTGTTTGAAGTAGGAGTAGGTGTTGAATTTTGCAAAAAAGCTGGGAGAAATTATTTTCATTATTGGTACAGAAGACAGATATTTCAGATTCTCTGAAGGATTTTTAAGTAACAAACAGGTGTTCTAAGCGGAGAATACTGTAAGCAGACAGGCTATCAGAGTCAGGAAACCAGTATTTTAGTGCCAGTGCAATCCATGAGCAGCTGCTAAACTTTTTCTGTTTCTCCCATCTCTATCTGTGTAGATGTCTGTTTACAATACCTGTGCTCTAGGGCCCCAGCACCAGTTAGGGCTCTGAACACTACTCTATCACAGACAAGATGTCAAAGAAGTAGATGTTTTGGTTCCATTTACATTTGAGTTCATCTGTAATGAAAGTCAGTACCATCTGCATTCTGTTTAAATAAAATAAAACATCAAAATAAAGACTGATTCAGTTCTGGTTGAGGGAAAACAGTCATATTTTCAGTTCACAATAGGTTTAGCTCTGAGAATACAAGGATACTCACATCATAGTTCTGAGCCAGATACATCCCAACCACATTGCCAAGAGTAAAACCAAGCTAAAAAGGAAGAAAGGAAGAAAAGAACAGTTAAAATCCTTCTATCAAAAGCATATTGGTTAACAGAAAAAAAAAGGAATATTGCAAGTCATGTGAAGACTAAAGAGTTTCAATTCCACTGATAATTTTTCACCTCTCTTCCAGAGTGGTGCAATTTTACCCATCTTCCTCACCAGGAAAACCTTACCATCATTTCCAAAATACAGCACAGTTGTGTTTTCAATATATATCTCCAAAACTATTTGGATCAGACTATGATCATCTTTGTAAAATTCTTTGCACACCCACAAAGGCAGCTGGAGAGGTACACACATATACAAAAACATAACACAGTAATAAAAAAAAAAATATTCATAAGCTTTAAAGTCAGAACAGGGATCCCAGTCTCACTTTAAAAGGTTCAAGAGTAGAGCTCCTCCATCAGCTTACACTGATGTAAACCTGTTAGCTGTTCTGCAACAGCTAACAACTGTGCACCTTCCAGACCCCTTCCACCCCAAGAGATTAGTTTTCAGCCAAACCCACTCTGATCTTAGGGGCTCCTCTAAGGCACGAAAGCACTGCTGGCTGGAAGCAGCGCACTACCTCTTCTGACAATTGTGCAAACTTGTAGCTGCTGAAGGGTGTCTGTGAAAATGCACCTGGGAAAGACAGCGAGAACAAAACAGAAGCACAGTTCCTGGCCCAGGCTCTATTTGCCAGCTGAAGAAAATCCTCAAGGGTGACAACATGGAGTGAAAGAAATTCCTCTCTTCAAAGACAGGTTACGAGATTTTCATTCAGCAATCCCCCACTATCCTAGATTTTATTTTTATTGTTACATTTCATAATAAGTACATCCTATACTATGAAAGCTCATTTGACTATACTGAAAGGGGACACTACTAATATTGTGCCTTCATTCATTGTCAGTAGACAAATCACTATATGACAGCTGAGGCCAGTTCTACTTAAGAAAGTTTTTCCTGCTTATGGTCACTGCTGTCAAAATAAGGATATTTCAAGAAAAATAAAACCACTGTCCACAATAACAACTTCACCGTCACATACTGACTAGACATGTTTTCCATGCCCAAAGCAGGATACAGTACAGCTCATCTTTCCAGTGATTCAGACCCTGTAAGCACCACTGGTAAAAAACTAGGTAACTAGAAAATTAAAACTTGTTGAAAACTGACAAATGAGCCACGTCTGCAAGTTACTTCAGTATTTTCTTAAACAGAATTTTGTTCTTATTCTTCCTTTATTATTGCTTTTTAAGGACCCTAGCTTTAATAATTTAAGAAAAATAATTCTTTTTTGTGTGTACTGCACTGGTTATCATTTGCTCTTGTGGTTTTAATTATCAGTTAAAGAAGTACTTTGGGAGATATTAACAAATATTGCACTGATGCAAACCAGAACTGGGATTCCTCTTAATGCACAGCATCATTCTAGCAGAGGAGAATTTCCTGTATCTTTAGCACTGTCCGAGAACTCACTTGAAAACACAAACCCAGTGCTTGTTTATTAGCAGTTTTCTAGGCTTTCATCTTAGAATATTTATGAATATGGGACAACTATCATATTCTGCCGCGCGATAGGACTTGTTTGGTACAGGTAGTACTGACATCAGTATTGCCTTTAAGTGTACTCCTTTACTGAAAAGTCTAGCACTGCATTCAAGAGCAATCCACCCAGTTACATTTACTTATAAAGCTAACAATTCAAGAAGAGCAAAACATTTCACTATTTAGACATCAGTTATGTGGACAGCAAAACACACAGCCAACCAAAATGTGCATGCTAACTACAGACAACAGGGCTGATGAGAATTCAGGGTCTTCCAATTTCTACCCAGCATTTCAAGTTGCATTTTAAACAAATGTTTATTTTATGCTTAACTCTGGATAGCAAAATACATGGTTTGCAAGATTATCCTTTTATCTCCCTGTTACAGCCCTAACAAGGGAGAGCAAGAGTCAAATACCCAATGTACACCCAAAGAGGGAAGAAACTCAGAATTAGTATAACTTTTTTCTAACTTTCAGGCGCTAATCAAGAAGACATAATTCATAAGAGGTTTTTATCTAGCAACTGCAACAAATAACCATCAGCAGCAAGCAGAAGAAGCTTGATAAACACAGAAACTTCGAGAACGGCTAAGCGTATTTACTCTTAGTGTTTTCAGTGGAGTGCAAAGAGACTATAAAAGACAGCTACAGAAATGACTGAGGCTTTCATACTTGTTAGTACATTTTATTTTGAAGCTGTTATAAGCAATAGGCCACATTTATTCATTTCATAAAAACACAGGAGACTCTCCCAACTTACAACAGGCCATCTCTTCTTGCTCTGTATCAACACTTGGTATTGAAACTTACCAGACAGCTAAATTACTCTTCCCCCAACAAAAGATGAATATCACTTATTGTTTGTACTTACTGGGACATACATGAACAGATCTAAAACCCTAGAATATCTCTCACATCACCAGAATGAAAACCAGGGGCCTGTTTCCATGCCTTGCTACAGCAGAAACCGGCATCTGTTTTGGTTAGGTAACTTATTTCCCCACTTGGCAGAAAAAATACCATCATCGATTAAGTATTTATTAAAGAGTAGCCAGGCACCTAACTTCAGAAGAGGGTAGGGAAACATACAGAAAGACAGAAAGGAATATTAAAATCAGAGAAGAACAGTAACACTTGGTCTACTTAAATCCTGCTGTCGTTAAGTGGGATTTAACGAAAGGCAGTAATGAAACACGACCGCTTGCCTTGACTTCTATATATAAAAACCCCCATCTCCAGAGACAACTTTTAAGGGTGCACAAAACAGCAAGGACTGAAAACCCCTGCTCTCGCAAAAGGAGGGACGGAGATCTGCTAATACAAAGAAATCTGAGCAGCAGGAGGGCATCTCCGTGACCAGGCAAAATCTCCTGGATCTCCAAGGCATACTAAGGGCACAACTTGGATAGAAAAAAAAAAACCAAAAAAAAAAAAAAAAAACACAAAAAACCCCCCCCAAAAAAACCCAAAACCAAACACCAACCCACACACACACACACAAAAAAAAGAACAAAACCCACATAAAAACAAACAAACAGGCAAACAAAAAAACCACACCCAACAACCCAAAACCCCATAAACCAGGCAGGAACTTCTCATTTCCAGAGAAGTTTTAAGGCACTGCTGTGGGGGGAGCAGGGACAAACCCGGCGGTGCAGGGTGGGGACCGAAAAGCAGGGCGAGGCGACCCAGAGGGGTCAGGGCGGGTGTGAAGGAGCCGGAGAAGGGAACCGGCCCGGAGCCGCACGCACAAGGATGCTGCATTGCTGCCGAAGAGA